CTCCTCTTCTCTAGGTTGAACAACCCCAACTCTTTCAGCTTTTCTCATAGGAGAGGTATTACACCACACTGATCATTTTTATGGCACTTCTCTGGATTCTCTCCAGCAAGCCCATGTCTTTCCTGGGCTGAGTACTCTGCAAATATGATTATTTAGAGTCTTAGAAGAGAAAATATAAAATCTCTCCTGAAGAGGTTACAGTGCTAGCTTTGATTTCTTTTAGCATGGAACTGATTAATCAAGTTGCACATATTTGTTATGTAAAACTAAGTTAAGCTTGCATTATATACTTTATGTATAACCTGACACAAATTAATCATACATCCATATACAAACACACACAGTAGCTGCCATGAAAAACTGTAAGCAAAATATGTGTATCTCTGAACCTCTGCATCTTCAGAGAATTGTCTGTGATTTTGGCTGAAGTTTTCTTGTGCCAAAGGGGTCTTTATTTTAGCATTCAATCTTTCCATCTTTTTCAGCTTTTTACTCTTTATATATTCTTTTTTTATCCTTTCTTATATTCTCTCATTGGTTATTCAACCGTTCACTTATTCTCTTTTCTACATGAGAGGGAAATGCAGTTTTGATCAAATAGGAAACTTATTTCAATCATGCTGGTTAAATTACACTTACCTTCTATACTGTTGCTAGCTTATATATTGCATTGCAAATTCCTCAAGTCTTTCTTGGTCCTCAGGTACTACTACATTGATTATCATGAATAATATTACCAGATTTTCAAGAGTTTCAATTGCTTATAAATCTTATTGAGGTCAATGGGAACTGCAGTCCTGGGACCTCAAGAAATTCCATACACACTCAGAAACACTAATTTAATAGGCAAAATATGGATTGAAACTCTTAACTTCTGGAATCTTAATTTAAGCATTTTTAGTAATTTGCTTTATCTTTGTTTCATTGTCCTTTCTCATGGAACAGACTTGCATGATTAGATCAAATAATTTTCAGAAAGTTCCAAACTGTGGTGAAGGATCTGTACCTAAATCATACTGTCACACATATTTGAAGCATTGCTGTTTTCCTCCATCACCCCATGCTATCTGCTGTGGTAAGTGCTGTGCCCTGCCTGTTGTTGGAGTAAATACTCCCCTGGGAAGGGCCACCAGGCACATTGTGAAGAGGGACAGTTCATTGCAGACAGTTAATGTTCTTCTTTTTGATACAAAGCAAAGTACCCATATAACAGTAAGATAAACAAGTTTGGTATTGAATTTCTATTGTTTCAGTATGAATTTGCAATAAGAGCTATATATTTACTTTTCTGATATAAGTGGTATGGTTCTGGAGCTCATCAATCAGTTTGATTGTCTACTGGTTACCCTAGAATTTTACACCAGCACAGAGACTGCCCCAGTTGCCAGTAAAACAGCCATGTTTAGGTAACAGGATTAGACATAACTTTTAATTCTTCTAATTAGAGAACATCTTAGGCTTCAGTGTCACTGTCGTGGTTTGACACTGGCCAAACGCCATGCACCCACAAAAGCTGCTCGCTCACCCTCCCCTGCCACAGCTGGGCAGAGGTGAGAGAAAAATTTAATGAAGACTCAATGAGTTGAGAGAAGGACAAAGAGAAAACACTGCAAGGGCAAAACAGGCTCATCTTAAAGGTACAAAATTAATTTATTACTAACAGAATCAGAGGAGGATAATGAGAAGTAAAGTAAGCCCTTAAAACACCTTTTCTTCTCCCAACCCCTCCCTCCTTCCCACCGACAGCAGTGAGACAGGGCATGGGGGTTTGGTCAGTTCATCACCGAGATTTTCTTGCACTGCTCAGGGAGAGGAGTCCTTCCCCTGTGAGACCGTGGGGTCCCTACCATGGGAGACAGTTCTCCATGAACTTCTCCAGCATGGTTCCAATCTCACGAGCAGCAGTCCTGCCAAAACTGCTGCAATGTGGGTCACTCCTCCATGGGGTGCAGTCCTCCAAGGACAGGCTGCTCCAGCCTGGAAGCAGAGCCCCTCTCTCCATGGGTCACTGGATCACAGCCTCCTCCAGCATCCACACCTTCTCTGGCATGGGCACCTCCTCCATGGGCTGTGGGTGGATCTCTGCATCCCCCGTGGATCTCCATGGGCTGTGGGTGGATCTCTGCATCCCCGTGGATCTCCATGGGCTGTGGGTGGATCTCTGCATCCCTCATGGATCCCCATGGGCAGCAGGGCACAGCCACCTCACCATGGTCTCACCAGGGGCTGCAGGGGAATCTTGTCTCCAGTGTCTGGAGCACCTCCTCCCCTCCTTCTGCACTGGCCTTGGTGTCTCCATGTTGTCTCCCTCACATGATCTCACCTCCTCCTCTTCTCTGACTAGGAAAAACTGTGCTTCCTTTGTTTTGATTTTCTTTTTAAATATGTTATCACAGAGGCGTTACCAAGCTCTCTAATTGGCCCAGCCTTGGCCAGCAGCATGTTCATCCTCAGAGCCATAAGGGATTGGCTCTGCTGTGCTTGGTGGAAGCTTCCAGCAACTTCTCAGAGAAGCCACCTCCATGGCCCCTGGCTACCAAAAACCAAGCCATGCAAAACCAGCACCTCAATGAAGTTTGAAGGCTTTGAGTCCCATTGAATGACCCTTGATACCACCAGCAGTTGGGGCTGTTCATTTAGGAGTTGAACTCAATGAACCTCAGGGGTCCCTTTCAACTCCAAATATCCCCTATGGTCTGGGAGTCTGTGTGGAAATTGGAAGAATGGGGGAAAAAGTGCTTTTGGAAGCTGGATGCATACTTGGTGTGCAGGTACCAGAATTATTGACTATAGAACTTCTGTTTCTTCAATGACAAGAACCTAACAGAATGAAACCTTTCCAATTCTGAATAATTTCCACAAACATGTTAATAGTCTATCGATATGGCTTATGAAAGTGGTATCTTCTTCAGAATGACAAAATATGTGGAGTTTTGTTTGGTTATTTTTTTTAAACTGGTTATCCTTACCTCCTCTGTAAGTTTTATTATAGAAAGAAATGTTGCACCCTGTCTGAAATGGTACTCTTGTCAGCAGATTATTCTTTCCTGAATAAAAAGGTCATAGCTCACATGACAGAAAATTACTTGTACCTCTGGGGTTTACTCATCAGAAATTCCCAATTCACTCTTTTTTGAGGGTATACCTCAAATGGGGTTGCCATCAGAAAGGCTCAGGTGACTTGGTGGAGAATTGCAGGAAGTAAAATAAAAGATTAATTGGTTTCTTGCTTGCTTGTTGGAGAGACATGGTTTGCAGACACAGGAACGGGGACAGATGGTTCTGGTTTTGGCTTCAATCTATTAAAATAGCCTAATCTGTTGGAAACTATGCCCAAAGGACCAACAGTGTTCCAGAGACTGACAATACCATACAATGTAAAAATTTGCTTAATGAGTGCTTTAAGCAGTGAATTAAAATTCCTCAAGAAACATTTGAGGAAAGAAAAGGAATAGCCCACTAAGGAGAGATTCTTTTTCATTTAACCATTTTTCTTTACATAGCTTCGAATTTCATGACACATTCTGTTCTTAATAATATGTGAATAGTGAGTGCATATTGCTATGACTACTTTATATTAGGAAATTATTAACTACAGATTTGAAGTGCACTGCAAAAGTACTTCACGTCATGTTTCCATTTATATTATGCTAAAAAAGTAAATATGTTAAGGAGGACCCAAGAACAGACTTACAGGAGGAGCCTGTATAACAGAAGATATTTTGTACTTCTCTGACACCCACATGACACATTTAATATACTGCCAGCAATATAAATCACACAGACAGCCTTTTCAAGATAACAGTGAAGTATTACTATTCTCTTAAAGCTGTACTTTTTTTGGGTGATAGCACTTGCTACTTTATGCAGCAGTCAACAGAACCCCGGATCAAAATAGATTATTGTGTAAGCAGAAAGTAAACATGCAAGTTTTCAGTTGCAAAATTGCTTCAGCTGCAGTACAGATACAACAATACTTGCTTTCAATAGCTAAGGGGAAAAAAAAAAAGATTAAAAGACATACCAGTCAAATTGCTGTAACTTCCAATCCAATAGAACAATGGCAAACTGCCCAAAGGAAATGCCCAAAATATTTGATCTGAGCCAAGTTGAAGGACAGTGTGTTGCACATTGGGAACTCTTGACCTTAACAATCACGAATAAGTTTAAAATTAATTAGAAAGCCATCACTACTGCTAAAGATGTCTTGTCTAGAAGAAAAATTTAGTCACCAGTATTTTTTAGGATATATTCTATCTGTATATATTTAACAACTCCTGGTGAAATTAATTCCTTTAACAATATCCCCATAATCTAAGTTGCAAATAAATTTTATTTTCATACATGCATAAAATATTACTATCTTCTATTCTTGTTTATATATTTTTTGCATTATATAGAAATGTTATATAAAATATGTACTTTATACTGTATTTTTGGGTGTGTGTTAAATTGAATTCTAAGACCAGCCTAATTAAAAAAAAAATCAGTTTGACTAATAGCTCTTTAAAGTAATTTTCTGTTAATCTTTTTTAAATGATATCATTTTTTACATTATTTTTCAATGGAAAGTAAAGCTGTGTATTGTTGCTGTTAAATATTAATACCAATCCTTAAAAAACGGTAAAAATAGACCTTGAAGTTATGTGCAACATTTAATTACACATTCAGTAGCCCAGTTTCTAGTGTACTTTTGTACAACATGATTGTGATTGATCAAAAAAGCACAGGTATACTGGTTCTAAAGCTAACACAAGGATGCCAGTGAAATGCCTTAGCAGGCTTTCCTCTGATCACATCCCAGTAAAATATATAGCTTTTTCTTTATTTTAGTCATGTCAGTCATTCCAGCACAATGCCATCAAAATCAGGATTATACAAACCATGTAAGACAAGCCATGGCCGCAGCTGTTTGGTTATTTTTTTGTGTGATTAGTGACACCATAAATAATCAGAAAATACATCATCCACTAATTGGTGAGTAAAGAATCTGAACGATCATGGATGGTCTTAGGTGAGATTAATTTTGCATCAAAAGATATTATATAATAAGATTACTAAAATATTAATATGCATTCTCAGAAACACAAAATTCTGTTCTTATACAAAACTAGCTTTTCCTAAGCAGTAATAGATATTAGCTGGTCTTACAAAATCCCTGAAAAGCTGGAGTACCTATCAGCTTCTCTTTAATTGCCATGAAATGGTGAGAAGCACAAGTTAAGTTTTACATATGAAGCTAGAAATGGAACTACAGTAAATGACACATTTCAGACTAGTTCTGTTCAAGGGGAAAATTCAGTGATGCTTTCAAGCACACATACAACTTTTAAGCATCTGCTGAAGGTATTTGCCTGAGCTTTACCAGAATACATCTTTAAATTTCATTGCTGTGATTTACTTCTTAACTGCCCTAAGCACTAGGGGTCTGAGCAGGTAAAGCAGCAGCTGTTCTTAACTGTTTAATGACCGAGTAGTTTATTTCCTTTGTCACAGCAGTGACCTTCATCCAGCTCACATCCCTAAACTCTTCATTCTGACCAGCAGCCCCCACCACTTGCTGTGTCCCTCATGTGCACATTGCATGAGGGCTGCCTCAATCAGAATGGACTTGTTGTGTCCTTGCATGCCTGGTGGAAACCATCAACACAAATACTCCTCTCCAGCTTCTCTAAAGGAGTCCTCTTGCCCAGACACTTGTCTCAAAAACCCCCTTCCTTCCTTTCCCTCTTCTCCTTCCCCAAAACCACCTCTAGCCCCACAGAAAACTATTCCCTTAACATAGCCCCAGAGCTGCATCCATCAAACCCCTGACTCTCTGCTTCCACCAGAGGAAGATGCAGGGTGCAGGCTACTGCTCACAGCAAGACCAGCATAGAGAGGAAACAGAGCAAGGCAAATGAGAGCAGCTACAGCCCCAGCATGATCCATGATTTTCTCCTTTATCCCCCACAAAAAGAAAACGTAATACTATTCAACTAGCAACAAAGAGAGATACCCAGCTACAAAAGAAGCTTCAGGTTTGAAAACAATACTACATTTGTGGTAAACCTATTTTTAGTCTTATAGTTGGAAATAAGAATTAATAATTCCTGGAACTAACAGGTATCCACACAGATATTGTCCCTGAGTAACATACTCCCTGCACTCTGTCAGGGAGTTTAGTGAAAAATATTAGATATTCTCTCTTAAATTTTGAAATTTGTCATAACGATTTAAAGAACTTACGTGGCCCCTAACATTAGGATATTCTTATTAGATTGTTGAGCCGTACTGAAACTATTGTGTGGGCAGTCAGTAGATGAGGTTCAGTTTAAATGTGGGAACTGAGGCAGAGTATAAGTCTGGATCTCCCTCATTTCTCTAGCTGTAAGGATTTCAGTTTATGCAGTGCAACATCTAGAGCAGTGCCTCACCCATTGCATATCCTGCTCCACTGGGATGCTGCTTGTGAGTCTGCATCACAGGGAATTGCTCAAGCCCACGGCTTCCAGGCTTGCGATTGACAAGCTTTGCCTCCCATTTTCAAGTGTTTGCAGGTCCTGATGGAACTGAGCACATGCTGGGGACCAAACATGCCACAGGGTGAAACAGTGAGCACAGTGCTTTGCTCGGGCTCCTTTGAGTCACAAAGATCACAAACCAGTAGAGACACTTCCCCTGGGTTCTCATGGCCAGTCACACTGATGTCCTCAGTTAACATCATCAGTAGGTACAGCTGAACAAAGAGTTAGCTTCGTAGCAATAAATGACAAAGAATTCACTTTTCCTCCCAAAGCTTTGAAACTTAAAGATGCAGTTGTTGCTTGAATAAATAACAAGTAGCCTGTGAAAGGATGTTGCCGTCTGGAAATAAGAACCCAGACAACACAATGTATACTTGCTATGCCTTTCCCGGAGACTGGAGGTGCAGAGTGCCTTACAATGCAGGGCTAATTCAACCTATTGTGGAAAATCCACCGAATTCTGGAGTGTTTATTTGTGTCTGCAGAGATTCAAGATCTGTCTATCCTCACAGCAGACAAAACTATATTTGGCATCTAGATAGATAGATAGATAGATATACTTTTTTTTTTTATTATTCTTGTGCTACACATTATTTAATAAAGGGGAAGGAGGGAATTGAAATATAGTTACATATATAACATATATATAGTTACATATATTCCTTATACATATTCCTGTATAAGGAACAATATTCAGGACAGGTTTTCTACTATAGTTTCCCCCAAATTTTATATTTTGGGTCCTACATGTACCCAGAATAAAGATGGTTTGTTAATTGAAATGTATTTTCTTCTTGTTCTATTTCTAAACTTGGAATATAGGCACATAAGAACCAATATACAGATAAACACAAATTTGCACATGCTTTATACATTTTAAAATGCAATTACTTTCCCGACAGCTTCTTTAATACATGATCAATGCAGAGGCAAGATCTGAGGAAATTGTTTGGTTTTTCATAACCACAGCAATCAATCAAAAAGTAGACTGAGATCTTTTAGCATTGATATTTCTGAGCAATGTTAAAAAAATTTAAAAGATACTTCAGGTTTTCTTAACAGTTATTTTTACCACACCATTCTCTTCAAACTTCAAAAAAACTTCTTTGTGAGCTGCAAATGTAGGAAGATTTGATTTCAAGAAATTACTACTGAGACCAGTACTAATGCAGGTGAACCACATCATGCCACTTTAAACTCTCTGTTCCTGCTAACTTAACAATTTCGGGCACAGGCTGATCTTTATGCAGAATATAATGGAGCTGATAAAACTTTTCAGCCAGCTTTTATCTGACAATTAGAAACTTCTTCCCCCAGTCACACCAGCTGGAACTCCAAAGACTGTGATGAAGCGTGTACACTTCACGGCACAACAGTGAACACGTTAATAGCACCCCTGCCCACTCCTCCTGCTTTTTCCTCTTCCAAGCAGTTAATGAGGGGCAGATGCTATGAAAGGCCAAAGATCAGCTTGTGCAAAGGTGATGGATGGTCATATCTCAGCTGCCTCTAGAGCTGCTGGAGGTGTGGAGAGGGGCTTGCCCAGGGCAGGAGGCATCAGCAGGTTAACACAGCTTGCAGCCTGCAAGAGAGGCTGAACTGGTGTCTGGATTTCCCTGCCAAAGGGGAAATAGTGGCTCTGAGATGAAGGGATTGATAAAGCAGGACTAATCTATGCCTGGTTTTAAGTTACTTAGAGGTGGGTGATAATGCTGTGTGTAAAAGTGAGAAGCTGCTGTGCCGACACTATGGGACATGCCTTAGGCATAGATGTTGGCTTTTGGTACTCTACCCTGAGATTTTAAGAACATGTGTGATTAGATTGAAATGGGGCTTTGAATGTTATTTTCAGAATAAATTGTTCAATTCATTTCTTCTATTTCATCTCTGAACTCTTTCTTCAACTTCGCTTTTTCTAAGAGAATGCTAGTTCTGTAGTGTCACACTGCACTGTCCCCAGAGCCAGGCCAAATCCTGCCACCAGTGGTAGCAATAAAGCAATTAGGGAATCACAGCCCTAGGGAGGAATCACCTGAAATAAGAGAATCTTGTCTTCTCTTTCTGTGGTGATGCTTGGTTTTACTTGACTAGCTTTTATGGCAGAATTTACATTTTTTTGGCTGATGTATAATAAAACACTTTTACTGTGGTTGGTTTAAAGCTTTAAAAAAAATCAATTTGTTCCTCTGCACTCAGTATATTGGAGCTGAAAACCATAATGTGCTATTACTTCAGGGTCACTGCTTAACTTCTGTTGACCCTCTCGCCCATGAATATTTCCTGGAGTTTATTGCTACAATCTATTTCCTGGACTATTTATGTATAAACTTACTTTTCCTGTTCTTTTCTTCCAAGTCTTTAAGAACAATGGGCAACGGGCAATGGGTTTTAGGGCAATAGCAATTTGCTACATGCAAGAACACAAAATCCATGAAACAATTTTTATGAATATCTGGGTTCTCTACTTTGTACTAAAGAGATTTTGAGAGGATTGTGACAGATGTGCGTGTTTCAGACACCACAATGTAAAACAGGGAAAGAAAGAAACAATTCTTAGAGCTAATAGGACATATTAACCAATGTTATTCTGTCCTTTGTGCCAATTGAGTTAAACACCTGCTATTGTATATCACAGCTTCTTGAACTAGGAGAAGGAAGACAAAGGGTACCAAAATCCTTTTTAAGCTTTTGGCAAAGTCTTTGATAAACTACCTGACTGATTTTTCCTTTGATTGTTTTTTGTTTGTTTTAATGGGGAGGCTTTATGAGCTACTTAAAGTACTGTGAGTCGATTGGTGTTGTAACTGCCCAGGAAATGGTTGACCAGGGGAGTTACACCTTTACAGCCAGGCATCAGCAGAGCTGATGTCAGCACATTACCCTGAATATCTCTCATTAAATGCTGGTATCTACATTCTTTGAGAGAGGTACATATTATTATAGTGTCTGCAAGACAACCAAGTAATAAGCTTTCTGTTCGAGTATGTCTGTATTCATCTAACTAATCTCTTATGTCATACTAAAAACATCTAACTCCTCATCAACAAGAAGCTGTTTTGTATAAAGGCTTCTAATACCCCACTCTGGATAGAAAAATCAACTTTTTTACATCAAAACAATATATGCAATGGATAAGATGCCAGTGTTTCCCTCACTGTTGTTAACCAGTTTGGATGCTCTGTAGCAGTATTTCTTATGATCCTGCTATCTCTGTGTTTTACAGATTATAGCAATATAATGGTGCAACATTAGTCACACCAACGATTCTCACTCTACTTATCAAAGCAGCCTTTAGATAACTTCCAGATGAGACATGACAGTGGGTAATCCATTATCCTCTTTGCTGGTTCTTTTGTCTTCTGAACAAAGGATTTGATACAAATTGTTAAGCTGATTCCAACACGTAGCAGTTAGGAATAGCATTTTGAAAATATATTTTCCATACTTGAATGGAATGAATGAGCTTCTACTTGCTTTAGGGAGAGAGGGCAATGTGTGGAAACAGATG